CGAAAGAAACCTTATCAAAACCGTCGTTAGAGACGACCATATATTTTGGATCCTTACTAAGGAATCATTGTCACCTTTTGATGCAATTACATATGTTGGATCCTCGCGAATAAATCCTTGCCACCCCTCGAGGCGATCACACACGAATGATCCTCATGCAAGAATTCATGTCGCCCCTGGGAAGACATTATCATCCTCATTAAGGAATCCCCTCCATTACAAAGATTAGAGCAAGGCCAAAACATGTTTAGAGAATCTCTTAAGATAACCCACACAAAAAGAAAATAAACAAAGGCATGTAATCAAGTCCCTAGGGGTGAAAATAAAAATGGAGCCCTCAAGGTAAATATTCATCATTACATGAAAAGGCCCCTAAGGCGTAGTCAAATAAGCCACCACGGGTATGATTACAAAATTAAGTAATAGAGGGGAAAAAGGAAACAAAAAAATCTCCAACTCACTGGCCCTCTTTAGGGGCTTGTCTTTTCTCGGGAGCACCATATGGGTGAGTCACCTCCTTCAGTGTCTTATCACCCTCAGGCTCAATTTGGGTGTTCTTATCAATAGAGGCGACTAGCTTATAGAGGAATGATCTTTCTCTTCGCCCACCAGCTGGCCATTAAGAACCACTTTGAAAAGGTCCATAGAGTTTAGATCCAACCCGATATAGAGGAATGCCACATACTTCTTCACCCTCTCAAAGAAGATATTGGAGGTGGCCGCTAGCTCATCCTTGAGATCAAACACCTTCTCCAATTTCTTCTTTGAATCGAAGGCCTCTTCAAGGGATTCTTTCATATTTTTCTCAGAGAGGGCAAAATTCTGAGCCTTTGACTCTGCTTCTTTGAGCTTGGTCACCAATGCCTACTTATCTTTCATACGGGTCTCCCTTATTGTTTGGCCTTTGGCGAGATTCTCCTTGCATCAGCAAGCTTCGACCTCAACTCACTTTCAGTTGGGTGTGTTTCTCCCTATCAACGTGCTTCATTAACAAGACCCTCAGCAATTGGTTCTCCTTGAGATTCAACAACTTGAGGAACACCCTGCTATTAATAGCCTTGTAGTCGTCGGGGAAGTCTTCGAGAAAAGGAAGGCAGATGCTTGTGAGTTTTATAACATAAAAAGAGGGAGCATTCCACATAAAGGACTGAGGAGGCGGATAGTTCCTTATGGACGATGTATGCTCACCACGCCCATCAACTTTAGGGATCTAGATCGGTTTCCCTTTGGAGTAGAGGAAGAGCCCACTTCCCGTTTATGGTTTTTAAGGGCATGGGATTCAAGGGGTGCATCACCCTTTACTTGCCTTTTGGTCCCCCTGGTGTTCAAGTCATACAGGTGACTCTATGGGTTGTTGACTCTTAAGCGCTCAGCCTTTTTTTGCTAAGTGTTCCTTCCTTTCGTCCAGGTAGACTTTTGACATCTACCTGCCAAAAAAAAAGAATAACATATATGAGCCATATGACTACCAAAAAAATTTCAAACAATTTTCGTTATGATATTGAACTTACTAGGATATTTATCCGTATCTTTATTATCCCCCATATCCAAGTCGGTCAAGGTACATGAATCCATGACCTTAAACTCATCCAAAAGTTGGTTCACCTCTATCTCATCAGGTGTGAGGTAGTTGAATTTGTACCCAATGTCATTGGATTGTATGTCCATGCTAGAGGCATGAGGGACTTATCCATATAAGAAAGGGGATGCAAATTAAATTGCTTCGCCCTTTTCAAGCTCTCGTGTTTGCGGGAGTGTGTATTGGTATATTTGTAAAGTACTCATAGAAGGTGGCACAGAAGGTTCATTGAAGGAGTGTGACGTATTATGTCTCCCGAACCTGCCTCCTACCCGCCCATTTATCGAAGTGGGCGCCCATTTCTTGGTTGTGACGCTTATTTCCTAGTTTACATGATCGTTCGTGGAAATGTAAAGCAATGTGTACCAGGCTACAACAGTATAGAAATGGATTCAAAGGGAATTTCGCATCCTATTGAATAATAGGGGAGTTGACTATCCACTTCCCCGCTCCTAAAAGCGATTGCTACTTTCTGAGAGTCTGAAGACCACGTCTAGGGACTCTATAAATACCTCAATTTTAAAGTTAAAAGGAGAGTACAATTACAAAAAGATATTACTTATAGAGCTTCTTATTTCTATCTCTAACCTCTTAATATACTCTAGAAACATCTGACAGCCTTTAATCACAAGAGGTTGTCATATATTATAGTTTTACCAAGTACAAGTATCTTTTCACGTTGATGCTTCGTTGAGAATTTCTAATGTTTCTAGTGAGAGATTTTGTGTCGTTGTATCTTTTTTGGTGACATTAAGAGATATTGTAATTATTATAGATGACATTCAACAAAATATAATATTCTTGGTGAGAAATTGCAATTATTAAAAATTACAATCAAGATATAATGTAATATCATGCTGATATTTTTGGCTTGTGCCACCTATTTTAGAAAAATGGAACATCTTTTTTAATCAAAAATGATAAAGAGAAAGCTTTAAAATTAAATTAGGAAGATTGATTCGTGAATTCACAAAAAAGTGATGATATCTGAACGCTAAAGTATTCAAACACGAGGTTTTAATTTGGCATCTTCACAGTTGAATTTGACACTCCCAAAATGTATGCAAAGAATAAAATAGTTCAACTAAAATTTTTCACGAACTTTCAAAATTTTAAAGACCACATCGAGAATTTGAAATTTACGGGGTGATACTGGAGATTTTCAGAGTATACTAGAGATTTCGCGAAATAATAAGAAATTTACGATATTTCTTCAAAATTTCTAATATATTGTCACGGAAATTAGGTAATTTCTAGTATTTTCTTATCGCGAATTTTGAAATTCTCGATTATTTTGTTATATTTTATACCGGAAATTTCCTATAGTTCATTTTTTTTCTCCCTTTATTCTTTGTTTCAGTGAGAACCAGGGACAAAGACGGTATCGTTGCAGGCAGGTTGACTGATAGAGCGAAAGCTCTAGCTCAGGATGATGAGGCACAGGTTTTCGAACTACAGGCAGGATGACATGCTATGATCGGTTCTCACCGGAAACAGTTGGCTGAGCAGCAAACGCAGTTTTGTGCACCCCGACGACGGACTGCTAGAGTTTCTACTGTCGAAGAGGTACATGATTATGTGGTGTTACCTACTTTTGTGGATGTGTTTGCTCATGTGATTGAGCAAGTTGTGTGGAGCCGCCTGCTCAGGTGATTGTGTCTGCTGAGGAGGCTATTGTAGATGAGGGGATTGTTGAAGAGACTTTTGTGGAGACAGTTGTTGAGCAGACTGATGAGGTATCTTTCACTGATACAAACGCCATGACTCGTGCGCTTACGGAACTATCAGTTCACACCGATAGAGCCTTTTCAGGAGGACTTTCAGACAAGTTCGTGTTGACAGGATTTTTTGAGCATGTCGCATACAGAATAATGGCAGGACGAGGTATATATTTTATTTTCTTTTATTGTAAAATATCGAAAAATTTTATTATGTCCTACCGAAAATTTCCTTTTTATCTAAAATTTCATTACCTATACTGAAAATTTCGTTCGGAAATTCTTCCCATCTCACAAAGAGTATTTCTGAAGAGAATTTTTTTTCACACCTGGTACTCTTCTTCCGGACCTATGACGAAAAACCCAAAATATCCTCAGAATTCGGATATGCATATCTGAACTTTACAATAAAATAAAGTGGGTTCGGATATGCATCTCCGAATAAACCTTATTTTTTTACGAAAAAAGTGATTTCGAATATGCATTTATGAATTTTACTTTGTTATAAAAATTTAAAAATACAACTAAAAATCAAATAAAATTAAATTAAGTGTCTACAATTTTTTTTTCCGAAAAATAAATCAAATAAAATAGAAAAACAAGAAATTTAGGATTTTTAGGACGGGGTCTCCTATTTTGTCTCAAAATAAGGGATTTTAATCTTTGATTTTTTCCGAATGAATTGACACGGTAAAATTTTAATTCAGAGTCAATTTTTCAAAAAACTGAATTTTTTACATTAGATCGCGTAAATGTCAGAGACGCGGGAACGCAAGGTCTAAAACAGCGAGATTATTTAGTTACATTTTATTTTGTTATAAAATATATCAATTGTTACATTTCACCATTATAATTAAAATTTTAATTATTGCATTCATCGCTTAATTTCATATCATAAATTTATTTTAATATTTAGCTTTCAATTATAAATTTAAGTTATTCTTTATTAATAATAATTCAATTTAATTATATTATAAATAAATATATTTTCAAAATAAAATCAAAAAAAATTTGGAATATTAAATTATTTCATATATACATATCTAAAAGAGATTTTTGGATTTTCAGTGATAAAAATCACCAAGAGAAATTATCTTTCCCAAATACTGAAAATTGAGAGTGTCCGGTCAAAATTAGGGGTCAAGTTAAAACCTCTTCAAACACCTATCGACACTGTATTCTTCCACTCACAATCTTTTAACTACTTTTATTATTATTATTATTATTATTATTATTATTATTATTATTATAATAAGGATACATACACCAAATTTTGCAAACGACACCGTATGGGTGTCTAAATTTTGGGTGTACAATCATCTTATCTGTTAACAAAACTAGCAGTGGAGTATTTTGTATCGATTGCAATCTTGAGTTAATATTTCCTTAAGGATTCAAATTCACCTGTCTACCGATAGTTGCTATGAATTTTTACCCTTTGTATTCTTAAATGATACAGTCTTTTGTTCTTTTTTCATTCTCTGAACCAAAAAACCATAACGCAATTGAAACTGATAGGTTGGCACATAAAATATTTCCCATTTTACTGCAATTTGAAATGCACATAATCTATTCCTCTCTTCCTATTTGAATCTTCACATTTAATGATAGCTCGAATCTATAAATATAATCTAATATTTTAGCTGCAACATTACAAAATTTAATAATCTGATTCCTTATACATAGTCTCCTCAAAGTTTATCCTAAATTGTGCCATATGATTCTGCCATAATTAATACTACTAGAGAAGTCCAACCTGTGAATGGATGTGCTCCTTTTCCCTTGCCTTTAATCTGATCGTATTGCTCCCAAAAGAATCCAGTCTGTTGATAATTGCGTACTATATTTCTGCAACACGAGAGAAATACGTTGTTTTAAAAACCAACCAATAGCTTTAAACAAGACTCCAACAATGTCAAATTAAACCAAACAATACCTGATTAAATTGCTTCTCAATTCTGTGTAGATAGCTTTGGCTTTGTCCTGATATGGTCCATTCTCTGCAAAATGCAACCTACAGATTAGTTTCAGGAGGCATGAAAAAAAGTGGAATATCTGCAGGTATACCTTTGGAATAATGGTGGAGCGCTGAAAGAATTCTGTAATTCATATTTATCCAAATGGGACCTCTCCAATATGGAAGATCGTGCTCTGTGTTGCGCTTCATGTACATGGAACTGTGGAACAGAAAAATCTCATTTTTCAGTTCACTAGAATCAACATACACTGAATAAGGTTACTCAAATTGAACTAAATCTGAGCTTGTATACCTTGTTTTGGCAAGAGAGCGTAGTCCATAATTAGTCCATAAGAGGCTGTTGTTTGAAATGAGTTCAAGCTGCTTTTCCAAAATCCATGATCCCTGAATGAGACAGCATATTTAAAAAAAAAAATACATATAATTGGGAAATCACTGAAACAAGGATTAACTTCTCAGTTCTTAACATAAAAAATGTGATATCAGAATTAACATGCATTACTTACGGATGGAATGATTCTCCCCATGAATGGGAACAGACTGACATAACCAATGTGAGGAACAAATCTTAAAACAGGTGTCTCCAAAACATCCCGGACAAGTTGCCGAGGAGCATAATTCTGTCCTGTCTCCATTTCTATCCATTTAAGTTGAACCTAGTATGGTTAAGCTTATGAGAAAATCTCATTGTCGGACTTGATAGAAGAACCCATTCAATGTTATCTTGCAAAGTAATGCGCGTGATACTAAACATAAAATACTGGAAAGTATACCTTTTCTGTATGATTTCCAAAATCAAAGTAAGCACCATATGCATTATCAAAATGCATCTGTATGGACATGAAACACAAATTAGGTCCAGGCATAATAATAGTAGCAAGCAATTGATTTTAGCATCACCAAGCAAACATTTGATGAAAAGCAACTGTATAGTTTGCTTTAAATTTTCTTTTCTTAAATACAGTTCAAAAAGGATAAGAAAATATGATTATTTTTACCATATCAAAGTGCATCAACCATCTACATATGTGCGGTGTATTCATAACCAACGGATTCATGCATTTATATGCAAGGGGGCGCTTAAGAAGTTCATATTCCTCAATAATTCAATAACAGTGAGCTTGAAGGTGGTCTAGACTCTAGATGAAGAAAGTATAGCTCAACTTAGACAAGAGCCTTCAATTTTCATTATCTAAATTGTAAGAAAAAGTCGAGTAAAACCTTGCCTTCCAAACTGGAAAAATCAACTTCTATTTTTGAAGGAAAACTTCAGAATCATTTTCTAGGTAGTTTTTCCTAAATATGGAAGAAAACAAACTTTTTCAAATAAATTGTAGTAGTTTGTTATATCTAGATCCAATTACTCTGTAACTATGTGATAAGTTTTCTTTTATCTTTTTTGCTCTCCTATTTATCTCCACTCGTTTTCTCTTGCTCCTTTGCTGCATTACCAGCAAGCGAAGACACAAAGTGAAATAACAAGGTGAGTACCAGCTTGGAAGAAATGATCGTGGGAGAAAAGATAAATATACCTGGTTCAGTAAATCATGATCTGATAGCAAGTTAGCAGTAGAGCCATAATTCTGCATCATTTCATTCGGTGAGTCCATTAAAATTGGTGATTGACTTTATGGTGCCTACATTTGTTTTACAAATTTTACCTTGCCAGGCATAGCTTCTTTATCCAACAACTTCTCAATGGAATGCATACAATCTGCTGCAAGTAACATCCAACATCTAAGGTCCAAGTGGCGTTCATCCGTACTTGGGTGTGAAGCACGTGGATAATCATCCAATCCAGAGGACAGCGACTGAAAATGGCAAAATGAATGCTATTGAGGAGTGTCTTTGGTCAGGATAAAGAAAGTTGTCATGACTGATTGATATAAACACTGATGGTTGTTTTGTGTGGTCCTTGGGTGTAATATAGTTCAGATTAAAATTGTACACAAGTACGGAAAGAAGAATGTGTATCAGTACCTTGGGATTTAATTCACGCATTGTTATGTTGTCTCGTCCATGCCAATAGTAGCTGCTCGTTTGCTTGCCTAGATTAATAGAGATGATAATAGAAATAAGGATTGGTGACGAAAATAATATATTTCCAGCACTCAAGAAGACCACACGTACATTATAGCACATACCTGATTGAGTCGTGTTGAACCATTGGAACCATGCTTCCAATCGAACATAGGCGCGCTCTAGGAACATAGAGATCTCACCTCTATCCTTCCCAGTGAACTCGTTATTCTTCAAGCTAGTAATTATGTCTACAAAAACAAATTTCTACTACTTTGGTTAGGAGTTAGAACATGATAATAAAGGATTAGAGGGAAGAAAGGGAGTAAAGAATAAACAGAAATGAAATCATCTTTTTATAGCATGTAACTGCTAAGCGGAGGGATAAATTTTATAAGCTTTACGAAATCTTCATGCCATGTACGATCATATTATGCAAGTAATAAAAAAGGCATCATATGACCATACCTACATTCTTAAGGATAGATTTTGAGTTTTTACACATGAAATTTCTCAAAAAATGCAACACAACAAATTAATGTTAGCCATGCTTCTGCTATAAGGTGATATTTATCTATATGCTTCATATAAATTGTCAAACTGTCTAAATTTATAACCCATAAATATCTTAAGAATCACAAAATAGAGCCAATCATGCATTGATTGCTGTTCTGATCGATCTTGAGTCCAATGATCATTGCACCTACAATGTGTTGTCCTATTTGGGTGTGATAACCCTGTCACGGCTTTATCCTTTAGAAAATGAGCCCTATTTGGGTGTGATAACCCTGTCATGGCCTTATCCTTTAGAAAATGCGCCTTGTTGGGTTGAGGAGTGAGTGTTGTATGTAAACTACCCTTATCCTCGATTTCCAAGCAATGTGGGACTATTTTGGTGTACGGAAAAGTTGCCCCCCAGTCTAGGCTAAGGGGCTAAAGGGTCCGAACCGCGAGCATGTGGGTCCCCCCCTCCTTCTAGTGTCAGTGTTCCGATCGACCACAAGCCCGCTAACCACTGCAGCTACGAGGTAATGTCTGCTTTGGGTGTGAGAACCTGTCACGGCTTTGTCCTTTAGAAAAAGTCTCGTTAGGTTGAGGAGCGTGAGTGTTATATGTAAACTACACTATTTTGGTATACCCGAACAATTACTAATCATCACTTCTCAATGAAAAGAAAATATCGAGCCTAGCCTATGACCTGCTTAACTTACAAAGTGGAACACTGGTTGCCTTCTTTTTGAAATAATGATTCTTGCAACTTGCAAGTCATAACTATAAAAATACAGGATAATATAAAAGGGGTAAATAGGGAAGGAACATTAACAAATACCATTTAATGCTAAAAACATAGTTGGAGGATTTCCATTTGTTGGATGCTGAGGAACAAATTCCTCTGGGACCCTACTGCAAATACAGAAGAATCTGTGTCACTATGAGTAGGACAGATAAAAATATCAAATTCACTGTAATCATTTTAACAGAAAGCTGATACTACACCTTAATGCTTCATTCCCCAGAATTTGTTCGCGTGGTATCCATCCATCAATGTTCATCAAATCTAACCAGTGTCCAATGATATCCAATGAAATATGAATATCCCATCGCCTGATTAATGTTCATAAACACTTAAATACCATAAATGATTTGTTTGTCAAATAATACAACTCATTCTCGTGCAGTCAATACAACACACCATAAAAATGTTAATAATATCATGAAGGACATTATTAGCCAAAAAAACTGACCAGATTAGAAGTTGATGAAAACCTTCATCCCATAAAAATCCTCTTGGAAAGAAAGACCGACTTGGTACCGCTGTGTAAAGCTCAGCAGGCCAATATGATACATAATCAACATGTTTCTTAAACTGCAAAGGAAAACAAGACACTGCATATTTGCCTGTAATCTGAATCCTAAATTGCTGAAAGCTAATTAAAAGTATAAATGAAATCAATTTTCTGGCTAAAAAGGAAAACTGAAGCACTGACAGCAATTAATCAAAGAATAACAAAGACATGTTGTCTGGAAGAGAAATTTATGAGAAATAAGATATACAACCACGCATTAATTAATATCGATAAAGTAAACTCACATCCTATCTCTTTTCCAATCTATACTAATCTTTCTGAAAAAGGAAAATTTGTTTTTCAAGAGAAAAGATTAATTAAATGATAGATAAATGTTTCACAACATATGGTCAAATTAGACTTCTATAGTGAACCATAGAATGGCCACCCATCATAACGATTTCACTAAACGGGCTTCTATGCATGATAACAGTTGTGTTTAAGAAGCCTTTAGTAGCAAAAGGCTGTGGTAGTACTAGACTACTAGCTTCCCCCTATTTATCAAATTGAGCTTCTTATGATCAAATTAACTAATTAACTGTATAACTAAACCTAACTTCTTTGCCACTCCTTTATTTTAACCTTCTATCTTAACAGATTCAAGGATATGATCTTCATGATCCTTTGGAATGCAGTATTATGAACAAGATTTCCAATTCCTCACTTAGAATCCAGTCCAAACAGGGAGAATTTTCTTTTTGCTATTATTATTCTCTTTGGAAGTCAAAGGCCCTTTCTAAGTTCACACCTCTCAATTGTAATAATAAAATTAGAGTGATCCTTGAATAAGTCTTCCAAAGATTTATTTATTACAATATAATCCATCAAAGATTTTTTTCCTATTTAAAATAATCGTTACAAAAACAAAAACAGCTAACAAAATCATTCTCTTGCATCCACCATATTAGTTCATCACAAAGCAAATTTGGTGATGTTTTAGATCCATGAGAGGACAATTTGGTGACAAAGATGATTCAAGGATTACTGTAGTGTCATTATAAGCTTTGGACGGCAGACTTGAGGTATTCCATATAAAACTAATATGCCCAGTATATATATGATAACGATCAAATTTATGATAATCATATGTCACTCTATATGATATTAAAGGGTGGTATCATATTAAATAATCTAACAAAGTAAAGTAACTTACATTAAGGGTTCTTGACAGAGCGATTTTTGACTGGCCATAGAAGTAACCGATGCCACCTAATAAGCTTCCAACGGCAGCCTTACCAACAGAAATGGATTCTGAGTCTACCTGAAAATCCACTTATATGATAAAGAATTTACTTCACCAAGCATAAACATCTCCAAAACTTTACTCAATCAATCGTAAGAAACTTGAGAGATTCATAATACTTTAAAAGACAAAACAAGTATTATACATCATTGATTTACAGAAAGTGAAATAACAGATTAAATAAGTCGATTAAAGTACAGCAAACTTGGTACCTTCTCAGCCAAATTGAAAATTTTCTCAATCTTTTCATCAAATGCTTGTTCTTTATATTTCAGCTCATTAGACAGTGAGGTTCCTAACATTTAACAGAAGGACAAACAATAACATAATCACATAGAACACTGATGTTAACTAAATATTAGTAGAGTAGTCCACTTCTCTTTAAAACAAATAATATTTACACATTAAATATAATGTCACAAGAATCAAAAACTGGAAATGAATGTGAACGCAAAGTAGGCGTAGCTTCCAATTTTAAGCCATTACATTAATGAACACATAAAACAGCACAAATGTATAAATCCCAAAGTTTTCCATCAACTAGAGAAGGTTTTCAAAGCACTGAAAAACTCTAGCAACAGAGTAAATAATTAAGTTTGTTCCCCATTTTCATGAAAGCGCGTAATATACAAATACACTATAGAAAAAGTGGTAAAAAAACCTGTAAGACTATTGACGCGCTCTTCTACTCTTGAACTTTCAGAATCAGTTCCAGAGATAAGTACAATATCTGTAGTGAAAGGAAAGCCACCAATAATCTGCAGCATGAAGTAAAAAAAAAAGGTTAAACGTGTCTTTTGTCCCTATAAAATGAGTGAACTTTGGTTTTGGTCTATGCAAGCAAAGTTTAAGCTTTGGTTTTCAACCCACTTTGAAATTATTGTTGTTGGTCCTTGTAAAATAAGCAAATTTAGGTTTTTGGTCCCTATATCTTTTTCTGTTTTGTTTTCATTCCACTAATCAAACCTGAAAACACTCTTATAAGTTATTGATTCCTACAGCTCATTTTAGAGCAATTTGCACAAGGAGGAAATGCTCAATTCCAAAATAATCACTTTGGAGAATTAGAGAGCCTACAGTCTGCATATCAAATAAATGACAAATTATTTGATGCCCACTTTCCCTAATATCTTGGAGAAACCAACAAGTACTTGTACTTTGGCTTGTTCAGGTATGCTTCCGATTTCATTTGGGTTTAATGTCTCAAATATGCCTTCTACTTCTCCATAGATCTTAGATTCAGGAGCCACCGACGATATGACCCCTTCATCCAATTACTTCTCCGCATATCACCCTAGTCCAAGTAATAAAAAAATTTCCACTGCTGATGGTACTCTAGTAACAGTGGCTGGTATTGGAGACATCCAAATAACTCCTTCCATTCTCTTAAAAAAAATGTCCTTCATGTTCCAAAATTGTCTACAAACCTAGTCTCTAGACAAAAACTTACAAAAGATTTATCTTGTATTGTAATTTTTCACAACACCCATTATATATTTCAAGACAAAGATTCGGGGAGGAAGATTGGACATGCTAGAGAAGGGAATGGCCTTTACTATCTCGAAGAATCAAATCAGCTTGTTACAACAAAAAGTCTCTCGTCTTACTCACTAATGTCGTAGTCACTTCTTACAAGCAAAGAAAAAATCTTACTTTTCCATTGTCGGTTAGGACATCCCTCTTTTGGAGTTATCAAAAGTATGTTTTCATCTTTGTTTTCTAAGCTGAAAAAATGAGACTCTTTGTTGTGAAGTATGTGAAATTGCAAAACATAAAAAGGTACCTTTTCCTTTGAATAATAAAAAATGCACAATTCATTTTCATTTAGTCCATACCGATGTTTGGGGTCCATCTACTATTCCAAGTGTATCTAGGGCTCGATGATTTGTTACTTTCATAGATGATTGTACCCGAGTTACTTGGCTTTTCCTTCTCAAGAATAAATCTGAAGTAAGTATTGTTCTCCCAATATTTTTCTCAATGATAAAAAATCAATTTGGTGCAAATATCAAGAGAATTATATCTGATAATGGGAAGGAGTTCTTCAATCACGTCGTTACTCCTTTTTGTGAAAAAGAAGGAATAATTCATGAGTCTTCTTGTGTGAAAACACAGCAACAAAATGGAATTGCAAAAAGAAAAAATGGTCATCTTCTAGACCAAACCCGAGCGTTGTTCCAAAATAATGTTCCAAAGTATCTTTGCGGAGAAGCTATACTTATAGCAACATACCTCATTAATCGACTACCCTCTAGAGTGTTGGAATTAAGGAGTCCTATGTATATTCTTTCGTTCTTCTATCCGAACATTTCGACCACTAATAATCTTTGTCCCACGGATTTTCGGGTGTGCCTCATTTGTTCATATCCACCGTCAAGGTAAGGGAAAGCTTGATCCTAGAGCTCTAAAATGTGTCTTTGTTGGGTACTCTACGACTCAAAAAGGATATAAATGTTACCACCCTCCATCAAAAAACATATTTGTGTCTCGAGATGTTACATTTCATGAAGGAGATGCCTACTTCATACAATCTTATCTTCAAGGGGTCTGTCTTATCGAAGATAAGGATAATACTCTTGAAACTCTTATTCTTCCAAATCTTGAAACAAATTCCCATGAGCTCAATTCAAGAAGAGAAGTAGCTGCAAATGAATCTGAAAATGAGGCATTGGTCAAAGATGGATTTGGACATGAATCTGAAAATGTAGTGGCTGAAAATAGAATTGAGAATGAATTTGTGGTAGAAAACAGAGCTGGAAACGATAAGTTTGGAAAGAATTTGGTGTATAGTAGAAGATTGAAGGCCACTCCTGAATCAAGAAATCGACCCAAGCCCTTCAATAGAGGTAACAAATTGTGATTTTTCAATTTTACAAGATGATATTTCAGCCCCACAAAGTGAAACACAAAATCCAACAATTGAATATAACCATGACCTACTAATTGCCATTAGAAAGGGAGTCAGAGAATGTACAAAAAGACCACCTTATCCACTTTCAAATTATGTTTCATATCAAAAAAATTCTCAAGCCCATAAAATCTTTCTTGCAAACTTAAATGCCATCCAAATTCCCACTAATGTTTTTGAGGCATTATCTGATAAAAATTAGATGCAGGCTATGGATATAGAAATGGAGGCATTAGAGAAGAATAAAACATGGCAGTTAGTTGCTTTGCCTGAAGGAAAGAAACCGGTTGGTTGCAAGTGGGTCTGTACAGTGAAATACAAGGCTGATGGGACAATTGAGAGGTACAAAACAAGACTGGTTGCTAAAGGTTTCACACAAACCTATGACATTGATTATTCAGAAATCTTTGCCCATGTGACAAAGATGAATACAGTTCGAGTTATATTACCCTTGCTGCCAATTATGGGTGGAAGTTACAACAATTTGATGTGAAAAATGCATTCTTACATGGAGAGTTTGAAGAAGAAATTTATATGGAGATTCCACCTGGATATGGAAATAATGTTGCTGTCATTTCAGTTTGTAAGTTGCGAAAAGCATTATATGGATTGAAACAATCACCTCGCGCATGGTTTGGAAGGTTTACTAAGGCTATGACAGTCTTAGGCTACAAACAAAGTAATGGAGATCATACACTGTTTATTAAGCACTCTTCTTCAGGGGGAGTTATAGTGTTGTTGGTATATATTGATGACATTATTGTGACTGGAAACGATTGGAAGAAACAACAAGTCTTGACTCAACATTTAGCAAAAGAGTTTGAAATAAGAAGTCTTGGGAGGCTGAAGTATTTTTTAGGCATAGAGGTGGCTCATTCAAAAAAGGGTATTTTTATATCTCAACAAAAGTATATCATGGATTTGCTCATGGAAACAGGTAAGCTAGCTTGTAAACCTGTGGGAAGTCCTATAGATCCAAGCCATAAGTTAGGTAATGTGGAAGAAGGCGCAGTGGTGGATAAGGAAATGTATCAAAGATTGGTTGGGAGACTAATTTACCTTTCCCATACAAGGCCAGATATTGCATTTGTTGTTAATGTGGCTAGTCAATTTTTATGCACAATCCAAAGGAAGTTCATTTACTTGCAACTCACACGATTTTACAATATCTTAAGGGAACTCTAGGAAAAGGGATTTTGTTTAAAAGGAATGGAAGTGCTACTCTTGAGGCATATACTGATGCTGATTATGCGGGTTCAGCTATTGATCGGAGGTCAACTACAGGGTATTGTACATTTCTCGGAGGAAACCTCGTAACTTGGAGGAGTAAAAAGCAGAATATTGTGGCCCGATCCAATGCTGAAGCTGAGTTTCGAGCTATGGCACAAGGTATTTGTGAATTACTTTGGTTGAAGATTATTTTAGAAGACTTGAAGATTAAATGGGATGGATCTATGAAGCTCTTTTGTGATAATAAATCAGCAATTAGTATAGCTCATAATCCAATTCAACATGACTGAACAAAACACATTGAGGTGGATAGACATTTTATCAAAGAGAAGCTTGATTGCAGTTTGAATTAAACTCCTTATGTTCCTTCACAAGGTCAACTTGCGGATGTCTTCACCAAAGGATTGAGCTGCCCAAATTTTGAAAAAATTGTGTCCAAGCTGGAAATTGAGAATATCTATTCACCAGCTTGAGGGAGAGTGTTGGAAATTCTAATAATTTAATTCTGCATTTTCCAAGTAGTTAATTCTGCATTTTCCTAGTTAATTCACTGCATACTGAGTTCTATGTATCATGGTAATTTGTATTAGTTTAATTCCTTTTTTTGTAAATTGCACATAATTATTATCATTGTAAGTTGTAACTACATGATTATAAATTAAGTATTATGTTGAGAGCATTGTATCTGAAGCACATTCTAAACAATATTATTCTTATTTTTCACAGTAAATAAACAGAATTCATTATAGGACTCCAAAAAAATTAAAGGAATCATATGCCAACATGGAAGCACAGGCTTTATTGGATGAATACTTGACCTTCAACAGACACAAACAGTTTATGACTGTCATATAAAGGTAAGGACCAAAAATAGTGATTTCATATTTTAGGAATGAAAACCAAACAAATCTTTTTATTCGGACAGAAACCAAAATTCATTGATTTTGTGAGGACCAAAAACATATTTAACTTCACAAACATAGAAGCATGTGTGAGTTAAGACAGCAAAATGAATTGGGAAAGATGAATTCAAGAGATAGTTGGATAGCGCTTCTATACACTCACAAATGTATTACAGTGCACAAGTTTTGTTAAATGGGTCTCAGAAAGTGCATATGTTACGTTACCTGAAAAACTAACACATTAGAAGAATCATCTGATGAGTCAGATAGCTGCAGTTGAGAATGCTTTCTTATCTGCCGAGACATGTACAAAAGCAGAGATATCAACAAAACCCTCAGAAAATGTAAAAGCATGGCTTTTATTGCATGAAGATGATATCATTAGATAAATGGAATTGAAATATCCAGGCATACTTGTGATGCAAGATTTTCCTCAACAAGATCAGACAAATTGTGATAGTGAGGTGTGCGAAATCCAGAGTAATGAAGTTTCAGATCATCCTGGAAAAGAAAAACATAATAAAATGAGTAATGGGATTAGGCATGATATTACATATAATCAAGAATGGCAATTACTATGTCAAAGCAAAAAAAAGGTCTGACAATTTGCATCAAGATAGTTAAGATACTAAATAAAAGCATACTCCCTCCGGTCACTATTATAAGCAAATTTGAATTTTTTAGTATATTCGACAATTAATGTATTTAGTTCATATATGAATTAGATACATTAATTATCAAATGTACCAAAAAAGTCAGATTTGCTTGTAATAGTGACCGGAGGGGGTATTATATGTGTTGAGATATCCCTCAGTTCCTGTATTTATATTTCCTCTTTCCTAGTGCATTTTCTCTGATGTAATTATTAATTAGGGAAGATTATAGAAAGATATAGGCTATAGTTACCCATACCTATAATCAAGGGAATATGGAGAAACTGCTCAGGTTTGTTGTTAAGGGGAGTCGTGTGGTTTTGTGGGCTACAAAAATTCTTAGACAACCTTAAGCAAAGTCTTAGTGTGGTTTGGAAGATTTAGTGCATTTCTTTAGAAGTTTGAAATGTAGCCATCAATTTAGTTTTGTCAACATTCCTCTATTAACAGTGTATATTTATCCCATGTTGTGTGGCATTGAAATTACAATTTACATGAGAAAGCTATGATGTATGCAATCTCTCAACTCAAGCAACATTTTTTTCAGCATGTTGACTGAGATATTTCCTTTGAACTGGAGTAGCTAAATCAAAGACAAATGTTGTAATATGTTAGAGGAAATATGTCATTGGGAAGAAACTAGGATGCTGACATTAAGTCAATTGATACACCTATATTTGAACGCAAATTAGGGTGACCCCTTTTCTGACCCTAGTGCTAGTAGATAGCAAATACTGGTTAGAAAGTTAATTACCTTAATATGACTAAATTTGTCGTAAATGTTGAGTCAATCCCCCTAGCAATAGTCACTGAGATGTAGTGGTTTGTTTCTTGATATATCAAAGGATGTCCTCTAAAAAAATTAATACATACGAACATAGATCACACTAATGTTGTTGCAAATACAGATGCATAGGGAATCTTAATGCTAGATCCTTTGGAGAGATCGATTAACAAGAAATGACTCCTACGGTATGTGAATTTATTTGAGAAATTTGTAACAACTACTCCCTCCGTCTCATAAAAAGTCTCATTTACACTTTTTCTCTGTCTCGAAATAAATGTCTTTGTACAATACCAATACAAGATTTATTATTTTTTCCACTATTATACCCTTATTCATTAACTTTCACTTTATTCAACTACTCCACTAACTATAATTAAAAGAGTATTTTAGTAAATGATACTAATTTTATCATTAAAATCAACATATCTAATCATTTTCTTAATAGTTGCACATAGCTCAAATAAGACACTTATTATAAGACGGAGAGAGTACTTTATTGGTTATAGCTTTGCAAATTACAGCCATGAGTCTTTGTATCATATGGCAGCCTGAGATTTTGCATCCAATCAAGTCTTCCATGACCTTACTAAATATTAATAGAATGATTATCAATTTATTTATGAAAAGATTACTTTTGAGGATATCACTACAGCTTCGGTGAGTTCTAACTATGAGCTGCTTGATATTTTCACCGAGTCACTCAAAGAGCTAAGAGAATATCTTATATATGTGCGAATATATATATATATATATATATATATATATATATATATATATATATGTGCGAATATATATATATATATATATATATATATATTATATATATATATATATATATATATATATATATATATATATATATATATATGTGCGAATATATATATATATATATATATATATATATATATATATATGCGAATATATATATATATATATATATATATATATATATATAGTGAAAGGAAGCAGTACATTCCACTTTTTAGGCATTCCTTCGCTAGCAGGGCTTCGACCTCATCATTAAAGAGCATAAGGTTGGTTGAAGCGCAAGATTGGCAGTATCCTCGAATTCCCGGAAACAAAGCTATCCATTTCGAGCAACTATTAGTGCAAACCACTTGAATACGAATGAGATCCATAATTACACGCAAGCAATCACAAGCAAGTGATTGAATGAGTGGGGGGCTCCGAAAACACATGCTGGATAAGCAGGTCTTTCAGGAGACGGTCTAAGGGTCCGGTCTAGAAAGAAAAGATAACTCTCAACAAGCTGCAGCGCTTGGGATGATTTTAGGCGCGGCGTATTCCCTTTGGCTATATAATCGTGTGGTTTCTGGAAATTTAAAAGCCGATTTCCTCCATAAATTCTCCGATCCAAATGGCAGAGAAGTTTCCATATTTATATCTTTTCTTGTTGGAGGGGCGACCGTCCAGGGAGGATGAAAGACAAAGAAAGGGATCAGGGGGCTTCTTGACCGGAGAAAGGGAAGGGACTTTTTGGACCTAACTGAGAAGGAGACAGAAAGGGATCACCTGACCTTATCTTGAGTGAGAGAGGCAAGTCGCAAGGCAAAAAGCTTAGTCGTTTTCAAGTCTGAGGGTGCGGGATTTCTATGTCATTCAGTGCCTAAAGTCAGTAAGTCAAAGGGTCCTTTGAAATAGATGACTCGTCGGGCCGTCGGAGCGGGACTTCTTGAGAGCAGAGCCCTCTAAATGCAAGTAAGATAGTTGATCGAGAAAGGTCCTCTTCCACTGAGAAACTAAGGAGCGAAAGCGATGTGCTCCGATGAAAGCCTTGCGGGTCTAACGCGGCCCTCCTGGGGCCTGACCCTGTGATGTAGAATCCTTTGCTCTTTCACGCATTGATCTTGATTCGGGTTTCAATTTCTTTCTTTTTTATCAGCCTTGCACCCGGTAATAACGGAACTTGAAGTCTTGCTCGTCTCTTTCATTGTCTTGGAGGATTCCATACGTCGACTCATTCAGACGAAAAACACAAAGATACATCATCCCCAGGCGCACAAAAGAGCTCTACTATATCTCGACGAGACGGAACAGAAGACCTTGCCAACGATAAGACTTCAAATAAATGATCTGCACCTAGCTTAGACCAGGCTCATAGTCGGGCCCAGCATCTTCCCAAAGCCCAAGACCATCCCGAAAGACTCTCGCTTTGGACCACTTCTCCCACTAGACGGGACATCCTTGAAGCCAAAAAGGCTTTGAAAACACTTTTGAGATTGAAATCTCAGTTTAGGAAGGTACCTTAGCCTTCATGCCCTCGATCAAACTATCAACTGACCGACTGGATGGACTAACAGAAAAAGAGTAGCCTACGCTGGCTGCTCACTTCGGAAAAGATGAGTAAACAGTAACTTCTAAAAAGGAGAAGGAAGTAGATTAGGGCAGGCTAACAGCGCCAGGAAATGTATGAGAACTCGCCTGTCCTGCCTATGTAACCTATTCGATTCACTCTCCTGGTCCGACAGCAAAACAAAGTTAACTTCCACGGGATCTGCCATCGAAAGGAAATGGCTTGGACATTGCAGGAAATACATATATATAGGCTGCAGGGCGATTCGGAGGGGAGAGTTCAAGCTTTTCTTTTAAGCCTAGTAGCACGGTTGGTTTAAGTCCAATCCGTATGAGTGCTAGTTATTTCAAGCTCTAAAACGCTAGCAGTGCAGTAAAGGTTCATTCCACCCCTAGAAAAGCGGTTGAAAGCAGTCTGTCGGTCTCAGTCCTGGGCAAACCGAAAACAAAGTGGCGAACGGGTGAGAGGGCCTTCGATTTTGATTCTTTTTCTTGAGGGGGATTCTGTCTGTCAGAAATAACTGTATATATATATATATATATATATATATATATATATATATATATATATATATATATATATATATATATATATATATATATATATATATATATATATATATATATATATATATATATACACCAGTTTGGGAGGGAGTGTTGAGATACCCCTTATGGAATATAGTAGGAAGAAGATATTGTCTACAATTACAACCAAACCTTATCCCACAAAGTGGGGTTGGCTACATTGATCTAACTTCGGCCATAATGTTCTATCTAAGACCATGCTTATATCCAAATCGTTAATCTCGAGATTTTTTTTACAACTGCTCTTATAGTTTTTCTAAATCCTCCTCTACCTCTAGTTGTTTGACTTATCTCCATCTGACCTACTCTCCTTACCACAAAATCTACAGGTATTCTCTCTACATGCACAAACCACCTAAGTTTATTTTCCACCAACTTGTGTATAATTAACTAACCATAAACTCCAAAAATATGTCCAATGGTAGGAAAAACAAGCTAATCTTGAATATTACATCATAATACAATTTATAGCATTACCGTTGACTTCAAATGTAGCTGCCAATCTCCAATGTCTGTTTGAGATCCCGACGCAAGTAAAGAATTCTCGTGAATGTTCAAATTTTCTTGACTTACATCTAGAACATTACCACCTTCATCAGCCAAATAGAAAAAGAGCTGGCTGCCTTTCCCAAATTCCTCATTCCATTTAGACCTGGGGTTGGACCACACGAGAACAAAACCATTCAATCGATAATAATCACTCAATATAGCAATACTATTACTGAGAGATGCAGATACTGATACAGAGAACTAAACCAGTCACTACCTACTTCCCACTACGAAAAAAACTACAAACAAAACTGTTGTGCCTCAGTACATATACTAAAGTGATTTGAAGTTAATAGCATCACTTACTTATCAACTTGCACATCAATTCGAACTGCCCAGTCCCCTCCATAACCACTGTCATCGCCCTTTGATTTTAAAAACTCAGTAGTCAATATCATACCATGGTCAACCAGTACTTGATGCCCATAATCACGCCCATTATGTCTTTTCCAACCATAAGTACTTAAGTCATCCTCATGTCTGCAAACATGCCTCAAATGATATCTGCCATCTTTCACACCAATCCACATTAATCCAGCCATCAAAGATTGCGGAGTCCTGTCATAAACAAACAGAAACACCACACAAAAAACACAATAAAAAAGTGAAAATGTCAAATGTTTACATCAGTATCCCACACACACAATCTAAACCAGATATATCAGTCAAATTTTATACAGCTAGCAACATATCCAGATTGTGTACAAAAACTGATGCAAAAAAAAAAAAAATCACCAAAATAGACGATGCTTCTATTTCAGTGCAAAGAAAATAAAACAGGGAAGATGTGTTGTGGTTTTCTTAAAACATCCAAACAAATCATTTATAATCGAAAACATCCAAACATGTTGAAATCAATTTTACACCTATTGAGTGTGTATGGTTCTGTGGTGAAAATAATTAATTTAGAATGAATTGATTCCGCCTATGTTTGGTGATCAGAGAAATCACGGTAAGAAAACACGGGGAGCAAGAACTATACTTGCTAGCTTCTCAAAATCACGGTAGAAAGGACTTTAATCGTGTGCCAGCAGTGGTCCATCAGGTTACCAAATACATTATCTGTAAAATTGATTTTACCTAAAAGCGAAATGATTTATGTTTGGATAAATTTATGTAAAAATGAGTTGAACCGTCAATTTCATTGTAAAAAACATATTTAAACTCAAAAGCTACAAATTTTAGCTTCAAATAAAATCAATTCTACTTTATAAGAACCAAACACCTCAAAAGCATTCCAAAGTCAATTCTACACTTCTAGAATTGCTTTTGGCTTATCCAAATGCTAAACCAAACCTACACTGAATCAATTATGCCTCCCCCAAAATGCTAAACCAAACCTACACAGTACATGCATACAGAGGAAAAATCGTTTATGAGACAATACCTGGCACGAATTCCAAGATAGAGATGGGGACGATAAGTCCCCCAATACAAGCTCTCCTTGTGCTCCCCTTGAAACTACAATAACACCACAATCAAAATTCCCGAAAGAAAAAGGAAAAGATTAAGAGTGATGAAAAGGAATAAGTTGAATTTGAAGTTAACCTGAGGAAGGTCCATGATCTTTGGCGCGGGAAATGGCGTAATCGCGCGAGGCAAACGAGGTTCAGCAACGTAATTTACGAGATGCCGGATGAAAAACAAGATGATGAAGAATGCGAAGAAGCTAATTGCGAGAACCAATTTGATGCTGACATTGTTGAATAACGGAATGGAGCTACCGTATTTGCTTCTGCCTCTGTGGCGGCTGAACTTTGGCCTTCCTTCACGGAGAGAATTGACGTCGGGTTCGGAAGAGGATCTGACTCTGCTCCGAGCTGTTGTTCTTCCACTTCCGCTCATTTCTAACGGATCGTCGGCTAACGAAGGCACTGCCACATCGGTTTTCGATATCGAAAGGGAAGAGAATGTTTTTTTAGTGAAGAGAGTAGTAGTCTTTGCAGTGTAACGTATTAGAGCAGTTGGGTGAAACGGAAACGGTGGCCTGACCGTGACGGACACTTTTTTTTCCTTGAAAAAAAAAGGGAATTTTTTTAGCCCGGTTGGAAAAGAAGCTATGCAAAACCGGAAATGTCTCTCAATTTTTAGAAATATATTACCGGAATATCATTTGTATCACAGGCTAACAAGCAAGAATGATCTTATTTTACACGTAAATTAATTTTTTTTTGAGATACATCTTTGTCGTATAGTATTCAATGTATTTTCTGTTGTCCATTTTAAGGAGTTATACTAAGATGTATCTTCGAAAAGTTAAAGCGTGAATTTGCAAATATGTCTTTTATAGGTTTGTGTTATATCTAAGAAGGTGAAACTTGATAGTCCGATATGAATGGATGAAGTTTGTACTCATTGAAAAAGGCTCATTTTTCATGACGATGGTGTCAGAAAAAACGGTAAATCGAATATCTCTATCTTTACCAAATGGGAAGTGATGCATGATAGATTTTTGAAAACTAGTGACAATATGAAACTCCACATCAAAGAATAATTGAGGAAGATTGCATATCCGGAGACCACAGACTTGAAACCACCCTCTCAACCGGTAAAAACAAAAAAAAAACTCCTAAGAAGGTCAAATCTACATCGAGTGACAATTCAACGATGTAGTCTCCTTCATATTTTGAACATGTAGACAAACTTTTTTCCGATTCACCAACTCTGAAATGTCTTAAAAGAGTTTTCAAATGAGCTCGCATTAGCAAACCACCTCCTTCACTGTCTCCACCAAAAATCTCATTCATTGAGGAGATGTCAGTTTTTATGCACAAATATATTGAACGGACCGGCAATGTCAAAGGTGACGGTAACTGCAATTTTCGGATTGTTTTTATTTTGCTCGGTAAATGAGAAGAGGATCACACACCTGTCTATTATCAACTCAACCAAGAGTTGAGGGGCAATAAAGAATAATACACACGGTTATACGGGAATGAAGAAATTTAAAAAAAATTATCACCCTCTTGTTTCTTGCATTAGTGGACCTACACTGGAGGATAGATGAATGAGATTCTCTGAAATGGGTCATCTTATAGCAAGTGTGTATGATAAAGTGTATTGATCTTACAAGATACAGTTTCTCATAAACTTTTTTCCATTGAGCAATGCACCACCTCCAAATCCAAATGACCGTATTATCTCCGTTGGGTAGATTTCAAATTTGCGGCATTTTATTCAAGTTTATTTGAAACCATGATACCCTATACCACTTACATCATCAGAGTGGACAGCTCATTCAACAACCAAACCGAGACTTGGTGAGACCATTTTGTTGAAAGGGTTCAAGAGTTCACCAAATTGAGCAAGATTGAAAGAGAAACAAATAAACAAAAGTCAAAGAGGGTACCATCAATAATTATAGATTTGACCGGCGATAAGTCTTTCGGTTTATTTTAATATTTATTTATCAATTTATTGTAATTAACATTGTATTAATGTGTTATGATGTCTAATATATACATTTTAAAGTTTGTCAAAAAATTATGCATTGATTACATGTTATGTTTCTGTTTTGTTTCGTTCTGTTCTGCCAGGAAAAGTTCTGAAAATACATCTCTGAAATAATGGGTGGTATCGGAGATACATTTTCGGGACGTGTCCTGGTACAAGGTAGAATTGTTGAGGTCAGTATTAATCTACAACTACTATAAATATAGGGCATTTGTCTTATTGTTTCATACCAAAACACAATACACCAGAATGAATATCATATGGCAAGTCGGAAATATTTACTTTAACAATGTGAAACCCTCAAGAAAATTTAATATTATTGAGTACACCCCTCTTGAAGATTTGAGATACATACTACAGGAGCTCCTACCATACGATGACAATCGTAAAATTATGAAGATCGAGTACCGTTCGTCATCTATTGACAAAGAATGGAAGATTGAGTTCAGCAACTATGAGCTGAAGATGGGTGTTAATTTAAGGGTTTTGTAGAATACTTTTTTCGTTTGGAATCAAAAATTCTGATCGAGCTGGATGTGACTGTTTCGAGATCGGTCAATGATATTATCAAGATGTTGCAACGTCCACCTGAATATTGAAATATAATGTTTGATCTATGTTAAAATCCCTTATGTATTACTGATTTTATGATATTAATGGTAATATTATTTTGTCACCATGTTGTTTTTTTATTATGTTTTTTTGTTATCGGATCGTAACGCTCCTAAAATACACCTTCGTAATTTTTACGAAGATGCATCTCTGAAATTAAGACTCGTCAGTATGCATTTTGGTGCATCCGAAAATGAATCTTCGGAACTTGGGGCATTATTGTATTTTTACGCGGTGCGCTAGAGATGTCTAGGGTGCATTAAGAAACTCTTAAAAAAATAGTTTAAGCCATGGGCAGGATTAACACTATTATAAATAATGCTTCTAACATCAGACGCGAAAAGCGTTGTACCTCGACAACAAAAGCGAGGTAAATAAGGTCGTCATGAAAAATCTCTAGTTAAAACCTTAATTTTTCAAAACTCGAGGTGTATAGTTATATGCACATGGGTTCGAACCCCAGGAGCCTCACTTTTATTATTTTTAAAACTATCGTATCTTTTATCTCGGTTTCTATAAAAAAATCGAGGGATTAATATTTTTTTTAAGTTGTTACTTGTTTACCCAAAATATTACATTGTTTACCCAGAATATTATATTGTTTACTCAAAAAATAAAGATAAAATTCAAACTCCCTAGAGTGGTTCAATATAAAATCAAATTTCCTAGGGTGGACAAGATAAAAAAACTAATTCCTCAAGTTGTAGATCTAGATATTCGTATTATTGAATCTTGGGGAAGATCTTATGTTAGATCTTACATGTAATTGTTTCTAATGAAGAAAAAAAGGTAAGATAATTAATATTTAAGAAAACAAAAACCAAAGAATCAAATAATGAACAAATATTTAAAAAAACAAATTTTAAACTCAGATGATTTTCTGCTCTTGTAATCTATCGTAGAGAACTTTTCCAAGCGTCCTTAGGTTTCAAGTGCTTCATATGTTTCATTTAGGTTAGATTTTCAATATTGTAAGATAACTCATATAGTAGATATCCCTTAGGTTTCACGCGGATCACTAAAAGGTGAATTCTTGAGTGTTGATAACTTGTAAATGGATAACATAGATTTATTTAAGGCCATTGAAAACAATGAAAAATAACACTTAACTATCATCTCAGTTTTGAAATAATGTATTGGCTAGCTAAACTAAAACAATGTCGTATTTGAGGATAAAATCATCCAAAGGTGTATAATTTCGTACCAATGCAATAAGGGACAAAATAAAGGAAGGTTTTTTTGGAGATGTCCATTTTGGAGGAGTGAAGAGACATGTAATTTATTCATATGAGATGAAGACATGGTGGCAAAAGGTGGAAATGAAGATGGGAGCATTATGAAGTCAGAGTTAGAAGCTATATGCTATTTGAAGGTTATGTATGAAGATTCGTAGAAGAAGAACAAGAATCTAAAGAACAAATTGAAATCAGAGAAATTTTATGGAAATTTGAAGATGTTATGTTTTGTTATCTCCTTTATGTTTAATGTATAATTTGTAATGAAATGTAATTGATGAAGTGGGGTTTGAATTGCATTGTTAACGTTATGAGGAAATTGTAGATGCAACGCAATTTATGTATTAACTTTGTTTATAAATGAAATGTTGGTTTTAGAATTAAATATCCTCTCGGTTTTTGTATAAAATTGAGGGGTTAGATTAACTAACATCTCGGGTTTGGAATAAAACTGAGGGGTTAGATTTTTTTTAATGGTTACATTGTTTATCCAGAATATTAAAAATACAGCATGTTCAGGTCCCATATAAGATGCTAGAGATCCAAGATTGGTTGTTGTGCTATCATTATCATTGCATCCAAGATTGATGGTTGCGCTATTATTATCACTGCCTTCACTAGCGTAGACAGTGTGTTTGAATGCTTCCAACTTTTAATAAGGTGGTTGTTGCAAAGATTGGAAACTGTTTTTTTTTTGCACTTGTAATCCATCGGTAACGACGAATATATCATAGTTTTGCTCAGGTAGAAGAACATTTTTTCAGTTTTGCAATCCAAAAAAATGGTGGGCGGCTAAAAATAAGATAGCATTAGGGTTAAATCTATTCAACGAGTATTTTTATAGTAAAATTTGAATTATTTATCCCTCGGTTTATTAAAGAAACTGAAGGGTTAGATCATTTATTTTACAATTTTTATTAGTAGAAACATAAAATGCAGTAGCGGGGATTCAAAGCATGTCCGGAATGGTATGTCACCTCTGCTTTCTAAATAAATGAGGGATCAAGTTGTTTTTTTAAAATAAATATATGGGGCGCCTTGGTATAAAACCTCGATTTTTTCCTAGATGACGTGAAAGCTTCGTCATGAAAAGTGTTATTTGTTGTAGTGTAACCCTGCACCAGGGAGAATTTAACCTGCCACCTCCACTTATACTTGGCACCCCCGCATTATTTCATAATTCCAAAAGTGACCATGTTCAAATTTGGAGTCAAATATGCGTACGAAATTTCTGATGGGTAATTCAAAAATTTCGGTACAAACAAAATTTTTGGTAGTGTATTCATAATTTCCGGTATGAACTAATACCGGAATTTTTAAAAATTTCCAGTACGTTGAAAATATTACCGATATTTTCAAAAAATGCCATGTTATACCAGAAATTTTAACCAATACGAAATTTTCGATAGTGCAATTTTATAGATTTTCCAACAGTTAGGATTTTGCCAACACTTTTGTACGGATGTGATTGCACCAAACGTTTTGTATGGTCTAGAATGAATCCAAAGTTGTATAAATATGAGTCATCTATTATTAAGAAAAACA